ACTGCTCACTCACCCTATTGCTGGACTACATGATAACATATTCATCTATGGAACGATAAGTTTAGATCTTGATAGGGCTTCAGTCATAGGTTTCGTTGAGAACTCATTGTTTGCTCATACACATACAAACTCGTTTCTCGTTAGCAATAAACTTGCTATTTATTATGGCAATAAACTTGTTTATCAATTATAGCAATCAACCTTGTTTCTCATTATAGTAATGAACTTTGTTACTCATTAAAGCAATGTACTTGTATTTATGAAAAGCCTTATTCCAAATCTTGATTTTATAAACTTGTGAACTCATCAACTATTTTTCATAGTTGACGCTCGTTTTACATGCTTTTTCAGGAAATAATTAGTAAGTGGATATAAAAATTCATCATCATAGAGCATGCCGCATGTTGTGGAAGTTATTTTATGAAGTTATATTTTGAACAATGTTATTTTGGAAAACTTGTACTTTGTTTCTTTTTAAGCTATGAGTTGTAAACTTTTAAATATTTCTATGGTGATGTATCTTTATCTTTTGCAATGAAACCTTTATCGCTGTTATATCTTACGTTTCCGCTTTAGCGAGGTGTGACAATATAACATTGTGGGATTGAAATTCCTATGTACTCACCATGTTTCCCAACTTGACCCACTCAGTCATTTTGTATCATAGGTATCGATACTAAGATACATTGCACTAAGAGATTAAATGATATGCAAATCACTAGTGTAAATGAATGTAAAGTCTATTTATGCTTATGTTTCTATATTGACGATGACATCCCAATGTTTTAAAATGAATAAAATATATTTCCTCGGAATGCTTTAATAATGTATTTATCATGTCTTTCTGAGAACAAATTCTGCAACATTATTCTTTAAAAATGAATACTCTGATTTTTAAATAAACATAAATAAAATTTTAAAATGACCCTGAATTTGAGGATGTCACCTATGCTTATTTGGTCTAAGTTTTCCTAACTTGTCACATGTGTCACCTTAACTTTAAATGTTATCTAACGCCCAAACTGTATCATAATTAATTTATAAAGTAGTACCAAAGTCTATTTTGGTTATTATGGTGGTTATTACTTTAAATCATTTACTTTCATTTTTTATTCATTTCACTTTATTTTATTTAAAGATTTTTTTTATTTTTTCTTAAAAACCAATCTTCTAATCCCTAAAAACAAGATGTTACAAATATATACCTTGAAGTCTTAGGCCATGTTTGATACTCGTCTGATCGAGTCAAGTCAGACATTTTTGGCTGACTCGGTCGGCTATAGCTGTTTGATAACCATTCTGACTGAGAAATTAAGGTCTGATCCGGTAAGAGAGAAGGAATCGATTAACTGAGAAAGGAAGACAATTATTTCCACTTGTGCCCTTGTGTGTGTGTATCCTTGTACGTGTAGGAAGAATCGATCCAACACCCCTTTTGCATCTCGTTCATAATAGACTCACAGAATTGATCATCCAACACCCCCTTTGCTTTCTTAAAATCAATCACAGAATCGATGGACTGCCTCTCTCCACTTCGGTTCGAATTTAATTGCAGGTATGTTTCCCCTTCTCTTTTGCGTTTATATCTCTAGCAGTAGTAAGAAATTAACCATCTGAAATCACTTCCGTTCATCTTCTCCCAATCAATCAACCATCTGAAATCATATCAGAATCCATATGCTCTTATGTTCTCATTTTTCTTTTGTATCTGCTGGTTGAGTAAGGAAGAAAGAAAAAAGGACATTGATTTTCTCTTGGGGGTAATTTCCTCTCTCTATGCTGCTTTTCTCCTAATCTCTCTAATTTTGCTACAGGAGTGGTGCTATGTACATTTAAAACATTCGATAGGTACACTTGGATTTTTCTTACTACAATAGAAAGTTGTGCTATACTCAATTCTAGATGCTCCCTCTGTTACTATTAAGCCCCTGAGATATATCATTATTTGTAAATGGCAAGGATTTTTTGTTAGTAGTTTAAAGTGGCTACAATTGATGTTTCTTTCACAAGGTTGCTGGTAATTCTCTTGCTTTGGACAATTTTGCCCTTGCACAAGTTTTATCCAGAAAGGCCTTTTGCTCCCCTATTTAGTATAGACTTTGGACAATTTTGCCCTTACACAAGTTCCTTAATTTTAAGCTAAACACTCAAAACCAAAAAGCTTAAATATTCGATTGTCATAATTCTAGATTGTCTGCTGATGTTCCCTTTGTTCAAAACTTGGGGTTCTGTCAAAGCAGATTGTAAGACATCTGGGTGTTATTCTAGATGCTGAACCAAATAAGCAATGCTCTCTCTGTTTGAAAATAAGTTGGATTAGGTTTATGCTTCAGTTTTCACTTCCATAAAAGTTGGGGATGCGAAATTGGAGGAGATTGATATACTTCAGGAAGTGACTAAGCAGATTGAAGGGCATACGATTTGTGCACTTGGTGATGCTGCTGCTTGGCCTGTTCAAGGGCTTATTAGACATTTTAGGCCTGAGATGGAGAGGAGGATCAGGGAGCGTGCTGCTCGGGAGTTGCTCCAAGCAGCTGCTTGAAATCAGGTTTGCAAATTCTTCAAAATACCAATGTACTTTACCTTTCTTTTACTAATTTATGAAATATAAAAAAATCTACCTGATTATGGCGGTACCCTCTTTTTAGATTGGGGGTAACTTTTGTGTTTTTAAGGATACAAAGACATCCTATGGTTATTATTGAACTTCAGTTAGCCATATGCTTTTGGACATGTGTCCAAATGTTAATAAGCCGAGTGCATTGTTGTAATCATACAATGTGAGCTTTTTATAACAACATATAAAATGAATATACATGTAAAATAAATGAACTTTCAAAATTCACAAGATATGGTTGTAATGGAGCTTATGCTTATTTAATGGTTCATAGCTTTTATAGTATTTTGTATGAGTATACATGTAAAATGAATGAACTTTATAACAACATATAATAGAAAAGATGCTATGAAACATTAGGATCATCCAAATTTTAAATCTATATTTTTCATTTGTTGAATGCTAGTGTAACTACCTGCACCTTTGTTTCTTTTGTTGAAGAATCATGCGGTGCATAACTGAATCAATAAATCCAAATTACGTAAATGACCCTTATATTATTTTCCTTTACGCATAAGTATCCAAGTTATAGAATTAGCCTTAGAATCCATCCAAACAACTATTTTCAAAAGGTTTTAGTTCAAGCTTTTAACAAAAGTTTTTTAGAAATTATTAAATTTATTTTACAGCTTATTGTTTTATAATTTCTTTTTATAATGTCTATTATTATTGTTATTGTTATTGTTATTGTTATTGTTATTATTACATTGCCTAGAAACGTGTAGAGCATCAGGGTAAAATGATCATTTTGCACCAGTCAGCACATTCAGTCAGATTTTCAATCAAACAACATGATTTTTTACTCAGTCGGAATTTCTTACTCAGACAGACATTTCTCAGTTAACACTTTCTCAGTAAGCAACTATCAAACGGGGCCTAGTTTCCTTCAATAGTTGCACCACTTGAACCAATTGAGTATGAAATCAATTTCCTAGGGTTTATTACGCAAAACTTACCATTTCTCACACCCTACCTCTCCACATTCAATCTAGTTGGGTAAAAAGGGGGTGAAAATGGAGAAGTAGTGTTCTTATTTGTCGATATTACATAATCAACCATATATTTTTCACATTTTTAACAATAATAATCAAAGCTTTTATTGTGTGGGGCATAAATTTGAAAGTTAGCATCTTAAATCCTTCTCCATCCATAATATGACTTATATGGCCGAAGGTCATTTAAGTGTGTCAACTCCTATGTAAAACACAAGTTTTGCTAATTTGTCACCTTCGACCCCTCATCTCTAAAAATATTCATGCGACACTAAAACTACATTAAAATTTTAAATATCAACTAGTAACGAGATTTATTATCATTATTATTCTTAATGATATAATATCATTTATTTATTTATTTTACTTGAATTTCTTTTATTTCCAAATTAGATTTTTTTTACCAAAGTTCAGAATTTCTAGCCCTAAGTTTACTTTTAGTATGATTTTAAATAACTATACTATTGAAATCAGAAACCGTTACAACTCATAATCTCTTAAAATATATTGTTCTTAATTATTTATCAAATTATAATAGATATCGGGCCCTCATATCATCTTTTGTTCCCCATGTGAGCATAAGTGTGGCAATATCCATTTAACTTAACAAAAATAAAATTTATTTGTTTTACTTTGCATAATAGCTTCGACGTTTGTTGTCATCCAACCGAGGTTATTTCAAATGCGTCACTCCTCCTTTACGACATGCAAATTTCTTTAAATGACAAACATCTGACGTATAACGCATTCCTTGTACTATCATAGTCAAATCCATTTGTTATGCATTTTCTCCGATTAGCTTTCATACTTTAAATGATCCTATGCGTTAAAAGGGTTAGTTTTCATTGTTTACAAAACCAAACAACCCCCTTTAAAGATAAAACTTTAGCATCACCTCATTACTTACATTGAAAAACATCAATTGCTACTTGGATTCAACATAACTTTTTTGATTGACGCAAGCCGGTTTCATCCTTATACAGATCATATTGACTTTATTGACCATCCCTTGAACTAGTTGAGGGTCCATATAACGACTTTCTCCTGCTTTTAACAAGAAAGTCGATATCTAATATTTCCTTCCGTACAATGAGACAATGCTTTATATAATTGTGTGAAGCCGTTTTGGTGCATGAATGATAACTATTGTATATCGAATCTTGAAAATATCATGAGTCGTTATTCGTATAGTTATAAAAACCAAGAACCAAATTACATGTAACTTGGTCGAGTCGAATTTGATTAAATCCATTTTGTTTTATTAGTTCATACCAGTTTTTGTACAACCTTACACAAAAAGTTTGTATATATGTAAAAAGTCTTTGTCTAATTGTTGAAAATTTATGCTGGAAAATGAGCTAAAACATAGTTTTTTTTTTTAAATATCATAACATGGTGCATACAAATTTCATGACACCTTGTGTATCAAATTGTAATATAAATTTAATTTTAACTATAAAATTGCATTTTTACCGAAGGGGTGGTATCGACATATGACCATACAGACGGGAAACCAAGAAATCTCCACTTCGCGATTCTCGAGGAAAACCCAAAACCAGGGCTTTCTTTGCTTTCCATCTTTCGCTTCAACACAAGATTAGAGTCTGTTTTCTACAGCTTTCTTTAACCCTCTTTTCACTTCGGTCCCAGCTTCCTTTCTCTCACATCGTATGCTTTACGTTTCGCCTCTTCTCGCCGGAAAATCTTCTCACTGTCTCCGTTGCTACACCCATTTCATTTCAACCTACAAAGATTCCACTCACTACTTCGATTACACCTCCTTTTGATTCAAAAATCCTTCATAATGCTTCATGGGTTTTTCAAAAATCGAGTTGCATTACTTTTCGCGATTTGGGAAAAGAGTCAAGTTTTTGGTGGGTTTCTTTAATCGACCGTCGTAAAGATTCGAACAACTTCAATGCCTCGTGTAAGAGAGACTTTTGCTCATTTATCTTTATGATTTGACTTGAATTAAATTGTGGGTCCTGGAAAGAAAATCCAAACTTTGATGGAGCATTCTGGTTCGGCTAGTTCATCAGTAGCTGGAACCAGTGGCCGTTCAGTGGCTTTCGAGATTGATCTTAACGAAGCACCCCTTCCCTCTCCCCGAGAAATTGTCGGTGGCGGTGTTTTTGCGGCGGAGCACCGATGCGGTTCTTGTGGCGAACTGGAAGGGGCCATGGTGATATGCGGTGATTGTGGGAGACGATTTCATGTCGAGTGTTTGGGCGTGAGAGAAGAGCAACGGGAATGGAAGTGTTTCGAGTGTTTGATAGAATGCCGCAGTGGGAGGAGGATCTCGTTAACTGCCGGCGGCGGGTGTGGTTCAGGGCTTTTTGACATGAATTCGTCTCCGCCAAAAGAGGCCGACGGCGTCGAGGAGGATTATTTCGTCAATTCAGAGCTAGTATTAGCAGCAAGCTTCCCCAATCCCAAGTATGTTGACAACTTCCTCATCTTTTTTATGCGTAAAATTTTATACTCGAACAAAATACATGATCGAAGATGTTTTGTAGATATATGCTCGCATAATTGATGTCTTTTCATGGGTTTCATGTTGTGAATGATCAATAATTTTGCTGTAAATGGCAGAAAAATGTCCCTTCTGATTTTGCAAGTAATTTAGGGTTTGAAGTATTATTTTGTTACCCCTTTATAAGGTTATTCTAGAACCAAAAATTAAAGAGTAGGATCGAAAGTTTGCAAATTAGCATATTTCTTTTTCAGAACCAATCCTCTTTCAATACCTATTAGACCATCTTTAGGCATTTTAGGGCTAAAAATCTTACTAAATTCCAACTCTATGATATGAGTGAAGGCAAAGCCAATTTGATACCTTGTTTTAAAGAGAAAAGTGAACCCCTTTGGGTTTTCATATGGCAGATTATATGGTATCGATCAATCCTTCATTCTTTCTACTTGTGACATTCACATCACTTAAAGATTACTTACACATATCATTTGGTTTTGTTTTTATTATAGTTCTACATCATTAGATGATTGAAGCTATGTCCATCATTGACCTTTTAGGGCGAGTAAAAAAGATGCAGTTTTTTGTCCTATTGACATCAGTCTTTGTCCTAGATAAACGTGCACCAAACACAATACAACATTTTCTTCTATCAGTCTTTATCCAATGCATGTCAAACACAAGACAACATGTCATGTCTTTATTGTTGACCTTTTAGGGTGAGACAAAACACGACAAATTTGTATTATTGAGTATTGACATCTGTCTTTGTCCTAATCCAATGCAAACCAAACACAGGATTTATCATTCTTACTAAAATTTATGTCTTTTGGATTCTAGAATGCAGGATATGAGGCGTAACCCTTTTTTAGGCTTTACTTTAAGTTCTCAGATGGCTCATCCGGATATGAGACTCATAGCAAGTGGATTTCCTTCTCAAAATCCAGCACGTTTTGCACACATGAATCTTGAAACTGCAACACAAAAAGGCAACTTAGTATATCTTCAAGCACTTAAAGACTACATATCTGAAAAACGAGGTGTTTTAGGAGATGGGTGGCGTGTTAAATTCGAATATTCAGAAAAAAATTACAAAACTTCTGCAGTTTACTTTGCTCCAGATGGAAAACGATTTGATTCAATGTCAGAAGTTGCTCATCACCTTGGTTTGATTCCTGCATATAATTCCTTTGAGAAAGACGAAAAGGGTAGTGGGATTGTTATATTGCAAAAAGGATCACATTCTACAAAAAGAACAAAGAGAGGAAGTAACCTCAAGAAAGATAGTAATGTGGCAAATTGGACACATGGATCACAATCTTTTCTTGTAAGTTTGTTAATATACTCTTGTAATCGTTCAAATTATCAATCTTTATCAATCTTTATCATTTACCCGTTATCTTTTATTGAATCAGGATGGTTTTCCTGTTCAATTTGAAGACCTTTTTGTTATGTCAGTTGGAAAAATCGATCCACACCTTTCATTTCACAATACCTCACAAATCTGGCCCATTGGTTATCAATCTATCTGGCATGATAGATTTACAGGGTCCATTTTCATCCATAATGTTTTAGAAGGTGGAGATTCTGGCCCGATTTTTCGGATACATAGATACCCATGCACTAATCAATCAATTCCATATGCTTCAAAAGTGTTATGCATTACAAAATGTGGGACAACTCATGATGATGATGATACAAACATTCACCTTATGCTCACAGACGATTCTCCTCCACCTCACCTTGATGATGATAAATCTTCATGTTCTTTAAAGATAACTTCAAAACCCGAAAATAATCTTCAAAATGATGTGATTGGTGAGTTTATAGTTGAGGAAAGATCGATAACATCCGCTTGGAAAAAAGCTGTGGAAAGTTTACTAAAAGCATGTCGTGAGGCTTATGGGGGTAAAAACGTCCTAAATTTTTGCTGCAACCATCGAGTTGATGGACAATATCTTGGACCAACATCTGAGTTTGAATCATTAAGGAAGTTTTGTTACTTAGCGGGCCCGGTCAACAGCATCCCGGATAAGATTTTGACCATTGATGAGCTTGAAGCTTGTTTACAAGAGCTGAGAAAATGGTTAGAAGTTGATAGATTTGGTTTAGATGTTGAGTTTGTGCAAGAACTTATAGAACAGCTTCCTGGGGTTAGTTCTTGTTCAAATTATAAATCTTTGAATGCAAGATGTGAAAGCTCAAGCTCACAAACTATTGGAAGTGGGTTCTTTATGGCTTTGAGTAAAAACGGTTTACAACATTCAGCAGTTTCTAATAGTATGAGAAGATCCCACAAAAGACAAAGTCCACCTGGGAATTTGGTTGCCTCAAATCTTCCTCCTCATTTGATTGGTGATGTTATTCAGGTAATAATTAGAATTTTTAGATTATAAAAGTGAGATAAAGTTTGTATCTTTATGTCTAAAGTTCCCATTTTTTGTTTTCTTTTAGGCGTATGAAATCTGTTTAAGGTTTTATGAAGTTTTGGGCTTGGATGCACCAGTCTCCAGACACGTTCTTGAAAACGAGTTGATGAATCCATGGATTGATAATTTAAAGCCAATGAAAAGATCTTTGAATGATCTTCAAAAAGACACGATAATGAAAGCATGTGAAGTCAGCAAACCGGATGATGATGTCAGCGAAGATTCTGATGCAACAGAAGAATGTGAGGAAGAAGGTTATCGAGCAGAAGCAGCTAGCAAATGTACAGGTGTCCAACTGTCAAAGTTCCACATGTCACTACTGAAAGTGTTGATAGAAGACATGTTAGCAAAAGTTAAGGAAATCTTTGATCCGTTTGGTGTTGTGGAATCAAAGTCAAGAAAAGGGAAGAAGAAAGATGCTGAGGTGGCAGGTGGTGGGAAGAAGATAAATCTTGATATGTTTCCAGTGAATGAATTTACATGGCCTGAAGTTGCCCGAAGATTTATTTTGGTGGCATTGTGTATGGATGGAAACCTTGAATCATCAGAGCTTTTGACTCATGAATGTGGAAAAGTGTTTCATTGTTTGAATGGTGATGGTGGCTCACTTTGTGGTTCACTTACTGGAGTGGCTGCAATGGAGGCTGATGCCATGGTAAGATAGATCCACATTTATAGGTGGAAAATGGGTCGACCCGTTTAATATCTTTTCTTGAATTTTATAAATGAATTAGTGTACTAGATGTGATTACAGAAGTTACTATTAAAGTAAGGGTAAAATGCAGAAAAAAGACATGTACTTTCACTATTTTCATCGATTTTAGGTAATTTCAGTATCTTCACCATTTTTTTCATTTTAGCTACTAAACTATTGTATTTTAACCTTTTTTAAAATTGGGTAATTGGGAAAAATGTCATTTTAAATGGTCAAAAACAGTAGAATGGTTTAATCACTATATAAAATAGTTAAGTGGCTAAATCGATAAAATCATGGGTTTCTGTATTTTACCCTTTAAATATCAACCCCCTCTAATTTAGGAGGCTGTAAATGCTGTATTGTATTCTTTGGTTCCCTTTCTATTTTAGCTAAAAAAATGAACTTTATAGATTATGTTATTATTATGCATACTTAGAATCATGAATTGTTATGTTGGTAACTTTTAATATTGAATTTCTGTCACTAGATGTTACCAATCAAGATTTCTTGAAATTTTGTTTTTTTCAGGTTCTTGCAGAAGCTTCCAAGAAATTATTTTCATCAATGAACAATAAAGTTGTGGACTTTATCATAGATCAAAAAGATGATACAGGAGACTCAATCAAAGACACAAACATGATTGATGATGATTCCCCTGAATGGACACAAGCTCTAGAACCTGTAAGAAAACTACCCACAAATGTAGGTGCAAGAATCAGAAGATGCATTCATGAATCTCTAAACAAAAATCCACCCGAATGGGCTAAAGACATTCTAGAACATTCCATAAGCAAAGAAGTCTACAAGGGCAATGCATCAGGACCCACAAAGGTTCTCTTTAGTCTTTATAACTTTTACCTATCTTCTTTACACTCTCAATGTCTAGTTTCGTCTTTTTAACTAACTCAAGTGAAACAGAGGGCAGTTATTTTGGTTCTTGAGAGAATGAGAGTGGAAAACCCTCTACAGAAGCCGATTATTGAGAAGAAAGAGAAGGAAAAAAGTGGTGTGAGGACACTTTCTGATGCTGTTATGAAAAAGTGTCGCATAGTGTTACGTTGTGTTGCTAATACAGATGAAGATAGGATATTTTTTAATCTTTTGGCAAAAACTAATTTGAAGCCAAATGATCCTGATGATACAGGGGTACTTGGGTACCCTGCAATGGTTTCTCGTCCATTGGATTTTAGGACAATTGATCTTAGATTGGCTGCAGGGTTCTATGTTACCTCACATGAATCTTTCATTGAGGATGTTCGTGAGGTATTATATATTATATATTACACTTTTGGATACTTAAAAAAACTAAAAAGAAAAAGAAAAGATTGATTCGCTGAAGTTGTTATCCTCTCATTTGTTATGGTCTTTTTCTTTTTTCTTTCAGGTTTGGCAAAATTTACGAATAGCTTATCGGGATTATCCTGATCACATGGAGTTGATTGAAACACTATCAAAAAAATTTGAAGAATCGTATCAAGAAGAGGTTAGTTAATAACTGAATACTTAATACTTTTAACATTTTCATCTTTGTGGGTTTCTTTTTTCGTTGGATGGAATGGAATGGAATGAACAAGGTAATGGAATCAGTCATTAGTTCATCACATTCCATAATCATGTTTGGTTGGCCTGTAGGATTGGAATGAATTTTTATTTAAATTTTTTATATTATATGAAAGTTCATTATCTAATTTTACCTCTCCTATATACAATTATTTATAATATTTACATTTGTTAATGGGATAATTACGAAAAAAAACGCTATATTTTTACAAAAGTTCGGTTTAACCACCAATTTATGAGTGGGTTTTTACCACAAATGTAAATTAGTTGTTTTTTTAGCAAAAAAAATACAATTCATTGTTGTCGCAATAGAATTTTTATCCAAAAATAGGTGGTTTTTTAAGCACAAATGAAAATTGGGTGGTTAAACTGGAAAAAAGTGACAATATGATCCTTTGTTATATATAATTAATGAACTTTTGTTTACAAAAATAAAAAAATTAAACATGGTACAAAGCTTATTACAACTCAAATAAGATTATAACAAAAAATAATATTGGTTAACTTTTTTCATTCCAACGGAATCAACAATTCTATTCCATCCTCGATTCCATCATACCAAACACTCCTATGGGACCATGGAAAATGGTAAAAACAAGTCAACCTTATATTCCATAACATCTTTGACCAATATATGTATGACATTTGTACAACCTTAGGTACTTAACCTATTCAATCGAATCATGGAAAACGGTAATAGCTTTGACTCATCAAGTGAAGAAGGGAAAAAAGAGTTAAACTCTCTACTCCTTGAAACAACGGAATCCCCAATTCCCCCTGCACCATGGGAGGATGGGGTATGCAAAGTATGTGGGATGGATAAAGATGATGATAGTGTATTACTATGTGATAAATGTGATTCCGAATACCATACGTATTGTTTAGATCCTCCACTTGCAAGAATCCCTGATGGGAATTGGTATTGCCCTTCATGCAAATCAACTCAACCCATGCCACAAGATGAGAGGTGTGGGACCCGCGCACTATGTCGCTTACGTGGCAAGAAGAAACTTCAAAAGGAATTTACTCGGAATCTAATGGAGATTTTGGCTCCATTAGCAGATACAATGGAGTTGATGGAGTATTGGGAATTAGGCATTGAGGAGGTTCTTTTCTTGACTTAATTTATTTATAAGAAATAGCAACTTACTTCGGTTGATTTGTTTTATATCTTTGTGTTACAACATTGTGCTTTAAAAATTCTACCCAATGTTATGAATGTCATGGAAATATAAAGCAATTTTCACTCTTATGATTGGATAGATAATAGATTTTTGAATTTATAATAAGTAATTTTCATGGAAATATAAAGCAATTTTCAATGCTACAATTGGATAGATTTTTCAAAGTGCAATGTCTTAATAAGAAAAAAAATGAAAGCACATTGTAACAGAAACAAACGCGAATAGATTGCTATATATTGAATTTGATGATCATGAAGTATAAAGTTTGTATCTTTTTTTTTTTTTTTTTTTCAATTTTGCAGAGGGTTTTCCTTTTCAAATTTCTATGTGATGAGGTCTTGAACTCGGGAGTTGTCCGAAACCACATCAGTCCCGACTCAGGTGATTCTGAAAAGAAGCTGCGAAAGCTCTACAAAGAATTAAAAAATCAAAACAAAAAAGAGAAAGAGAAAGAAAGTGAAGATACATGTCAAGAAGAGCAGTTATCCGTTTCTAAATCTGGTGATATTCAAAGTCAAATAAAGAATGAAGAAAATGACGAAAACAAACATGTGGGACCCACGAAAACGGGTCAGGGTCAAGAATCGGGTTGTGGGGTTTCTTCTTTACAAGAAAAGATTGCAACTTTGGAGTCAAAAATAGCAAGACCCGTTGTTAGAAGAGATTATTTGGGTCGGGATTTACTTGGAAGACTTTATTGGATCCTTAGCAGCCCTGAACGGGTCGTTGTGTCGGGCCCACCTAGTCGTAGGAATGAAGGTGAAATTACCAAAATGCCCGAAATGTATGATAATGATTCTCTTTGGACTTGCTATGAATCCGATGCGGAAATCCAAGAGCTCATTGGGTGGTTGAGAGACGATGATACAAAAGAGAAAGAACTCAAAGAGACAATCCGTCAGTGGCACATGAATCGAGTAAATGACGTAAACGCCCTTGAAAACCATGTTCAAACTGTCGATGATAATCCCGTGTATGGCACCAAGGCAAGGGCAATGTTGGAAAAGAAGTTTGGTTCTTTATCGAAAAAGAACGGGTGCAAGGGTAAAATGGTCAAGAACGGGAAATTATATAGGTGTGATTGTTTGGAGTTAGCGGGGCCCACCCGACACCATTGTTCTTCCTGTCATTGGACGTTTTTGACTAACGAGGAGCTCGAAGGGCATAATGATGGAAAATGTCAAAATCGTCAAGAATGTGAGGGTCCCACGAAGGGTAAAAAGGTCAAGTTAGTCAAACCGCAGGCTTTGACCAATCATGAAGAATCCGATTTGCCATTTGTTTTTGAAGAAATTCGGGCCAAGTTTTGTACACGAAGTTCTCTTAAAGAAGAAGTCAAAGAAATCGGTCTTATCGGGTCAAACGGGACTCCATCATTTGTATACCCACAAGATAATAATTCCGCTTTATTTTTATTTTCTGAAACGAAAAAATTGGTTAGTTCCCAAAACGGGTCAACAGATATTCTTCTATTGGGTACAAATGAGACACCATCTAAGGTTGAAAGATTGAAACCCAAGGGTACAAGTGGAAAATCATTGTTGAAGAATAGAAGCTCATTGAGAATATGCCAATCTTCTTTGAAGCCGTTAACGGGCCGTGTTGTTGAAATTCTTAGGTGTCTTAAGATTAATTTGTTTGATATGGAAACTGCGCTTCCGGAAGATTCTTTGAGACCTTCAAGAGGAGGCTTGGATCGCTTACGTGCTTGGCGTAGTTTGGTAAAATCTTCACAATCAATCTATGAGGTAAAGTTATTTGTAACAAAAAGATTTTATATAGTGCAAGATTAATTTAATATCTTTGAAATTATGTTATTGAAGTTTAGTATGAGTTTACAACAAAATGATATTAACGTTAGGGGCTGGGTCTGACTTGATCAGATTCAGACTGTTTGATACCACAATTAGAAGCCTTTGATTCAAATAGATTAGAAGCCTTTGATTCAGATTGGTTGATACCACAATTAGAAACCTTTGATTCAGATTGTTTGATACCACAATTAGAAGCCTTTGATTCAGATAAATTAGAAGCCTTTGATTCAGACTGTGTGATACCACAGTTAGAAGCCTTTGATTCAGGCTGTTTGATACCACAATTAGAGGCCTTTGATTAAGATAAATTAGAAGCTTTTGATTCAGACTGTTTGATACCACATATAGAAGCCTTTGATTCAGATAAATTAGGAGCCTTTGATTAAGACTGTTTGATACCAAAATTAGAAGCCTTTGATTCAGACATTTTGATACCACAATTAGAAGCGTTTGATTTGGTCCTATATGTAGCCTTTGATATGCCTCTTACTTGGTCTCATAAAAGATGATGGGGAATCTGACTCAGTTAGGCCTTGACTTAATCAACAACTATCAAAAAACCAAACTTTCACTATTTAGAATCTTCTTATTTATCATATCGTTTGTTCATTTTATTCAATAATCAAAGTTTGCCAAACACTCAAAGACACTGCTAAAGTAATTATCTTTTAACATTTAATGGTCTTTTCAGATGGTGCAAGCAACACTCATGTTAGAGGACATGATTAAAACCGAATACTTGAGAAAAGAATGGTGGTATTGGTCATCCCCTTCAACCGCTGCTAAAATCTCAAATATTTCAGCCCTTGCTTTACGAATATACGCCCTTGATGCAGCCATTTATTACGAAAAACCCCCGACACCCAATCTAGACCCCACAGAACCCCTAACACCCAAGAGTTCCAAATCCGAAAAGAAGACTTCTGAAAAGTCAAATGCTAAAGAATCCTCGGAGAAGTCAACCCCGAAAAACAGTCAAAGTCAAAGGGCCAGCAGCTCACCTGTGACCGAGGGTTCAAGGCCTAAAACCAGATCAAAGAAGAGGATGAGGGATTCTGATAGTTGATCAAATTAGAGTTGCTTTTCTTTTTAGACTATGTAAATGCTAGAAGATGGGCTTCATTCATTGATCATATAGAAGTTGAAATGAAACATGTGTAGTTTTGTGTTGTAAATATTTGTTTGAATGTTGTTGAGTTGGAAAACGACCATGGTGATTTCTTGAGGATTAACATTGTTTTGGAACTATGAATCTTGTTTTGTGTTTGACATGTATTCAACTGAAAAAAAAAAAAAAAAGACGGGTGTTAATGGCATACAATTCTAACTCTTTGTTCTACCCAAAAAAACTAAGATGAGATAGAGACTTGTTCAATAATCAAACAAGAAATGTGAAGGCTTATACAAGTTTAAACACATGGAATGATGTGTGAGCTCATATATCATCTTAAATGGAAGACATTTTTGGAGTATGTGTATGATATGTTTCATGTTTTTGGTATTTTGAATTTGAACATGGAAATTATTATCATTGTATTTTATGGAAGTAGTATATTATGATTGTATGAGGTATATGTTCTAATGAGAGAATCATATATTCTGTGTAAAGTTGACTGTGAAGATGTATGTCATGATGTTGACTACGAAGATGTTAGTGAGAAGGTTTAGAAAAATTAAGGTCTTGAATCACATTCAATCGTTTTATTATTCAAAAATCGTTTGCCATTTTTTAATGTTAAAACTTCCAGATTTCAAGTTCAATTTTATGTATGGGACGATTGTTTGTTGAAGTTATGATTTGTTAGTTTTTTGGGTGTGACAAGTTACACATTAAACTGATTTTTTTTCTTAAACATAGTGTCTAGTAAGTTAAGTGATTAAAAAAAAATACAACGTTTGGTACACAAATTAAGGAAATAGTAAATGTTGGTTTCTAGATGATGTTATTTCTCCAATCATGATTGTTAAATGATCTTAAGATTGTCTGATGCTTTTGAGATCCAATCCCACTCCATGGAAAAAAATTAGGTTTTAAATTTTGAAATATGAAGTTCTCATTACAGAATTACAAAAAATGTCTTGTAGTTTATCGAAAGTCACAAAGTTAATCCTTATTTTTTTTTTTATGTAAATAGTCCTTGTGGTTTGCAAAACTTGCATTGATGACCATTTTTACTAACTCTATTAGTATTGATCCGTTAGAGACGGAATCTATAAGAGCATTTTCATCTTTTCAAGTATAAATGGATTGATTTTGTGACATTTGAAAAAAACGATGACCATTTTTACTAACTCTATTAGTATTAACCCGTTAGAGACGGAATCTATAAGAGCATTTTCATCTTTTCAAATATAAATGGATTGATTTTGTGACATTTGAAAAAAACAATTAAAATTGAAGGAGGAGGCTTGAACTCGTGACCTCCACCCTTTTATATTTGACCAACGACTTAACCAGTTAAACTAAAGAATCACTCAATTTTTATCTTCTAAAACTCATATATATATAATAATAAAATCAATAAAACATAAAAAATAAATAAATTAAAAAAACATTATTTTACATAATTTTTTTTAATAAAACAAAATGTATTTTAGCGTATTATAAAAAAACAAACTTTTACAATCATTTTATATTTATTTTTATGTATTTGTTTTACATAATTTTTTATGTCTTTAAAAAATACGTTTTCGTATAATATGTTATTACGTTGTAAAGAAAGACAAAATCGGCCGAATAAGTTTTTGTTTAGCCCCAATTGGTTTTCTAAAAACCGATTTTCGGTTAAAAAAAGCTTAACAACAATTTTGTTATATGTATTTAAACAATTAATATTTTTTTATGTCACAAGTAGTGTTAATTATTGTTATTTAAAAAAAAATATATGTTTATTTCTTTCCATCATCATTTTAACCATACGATTTAGAACTAGTGATTAAGTTGAAATACATATTTTAAATAAGACATATAATCGAATACGTTTTACTAGTATATGTTTTTTATATACATATAACCGAAAAACGATTTTTAGAAAAAGTATTTTGTTAAAGACATAAAACAACATATTTTATGTAAAATAAATACATAAAAATACATATAAAATTTTTATAATTTTTTTTTTATATAATATGGAAAATACGTTTTTTATTTATTTAAAAAAAATTATGTAAAAAAAATGTTTTTGTAATTTATTTATTGTTTATGTTTTATTATATATATATATATATATATATATATATATATATATATATATATATATATATATATATATATATATATATATATATATATATGAGTTGTAGAAAGTAAAAACCAAGTACACCTTTAACTCAAGTTGTTAAGTCTTTGGACAATTTAGAAGAGTGGAGGTTCGCTAGTTCGAGCCTCCCTTAAAAAAATAATCATATTTGTCAAGGATGTGGTTCATATGGTTTACCAAATGTGTCTCTTTATATTTGAAAAAGACGAGAATACCCTTACAGAATCAGTATACTACCAGAGTTAGTAAAGAAAACTATCAATACAAATTTTCCAAACCACAAGAACCATTTGCATAAAAAAAAATTAATAGAACCTTACTTTTGGCAAACCACATAAACCATTTTTGTTGTTTTATTTTATTGTTATATCTATTTTGTTACTCTTTAAATTGGGTTATTTTTATTTCAATTTTATCTTCAAAATACTCAAATACATAATTAGAACATATCCGATCTTCCATATCATCCGTAGTTTTTTTTTTTTTTTTTTTTTTGCCATACCATTCATTCTACTACATTTATCAAATAAAATATTACTATTTACATATTCACCGATCATCGAACACTTTTTTTTTTTTCTATTGTATCAAAAAAAAATTGTGGGTTAGAAGGTTTCTACTCTCCGGCCAACTTATCGACTCGCCACTCTCATTACAACTTCTTCTCCTAAACTACCGACTGACATCTTGTCACTCGTTAACTCTGTAATCTCTACCTGCAAAACAATCTTTTTTTTATGGCCAATTCCGAATTTGTGTTCCTCTCTTGTGAATCTCGTTAGGGTTAGCTTCTCTGTAAATGCATTGGAAGCTCTAATGGAGACTTTATGATTTTTTTTTTTCTTGTAAAACAGAGAAGAGTTTGAGTGCTTGAGGGATGATTTTTGAATTGGATTTCTGTTTGATTTAGGTTTTATTCCCAAGTTTTTCCATTGAAGACTTATGGTTTTTAATTTTTTATTGTAAAACAGGGAAGGGGTGAGGCCATGATAGAGGGGGAATAGTTTTCAATATATAGCTGATGAATATAAGATGGAAAAAAGTTAAAAATAATCAAGGGTAAATTATACATTTTAAGTCTGATCGGGTTCAAAACCGATACAAAATCAATCTATGAGGATGTTCATGCTACAATCGAAAAAAGTGGACTTATTCAAGAATGCCACATAACCACAGGGAGTGAATTTGTAATTTACTCTATTTTTTAACGAGTTGTTGACGAATGCAATGAGGTATTAGGAACACAAGCATACAACACTGTCATTGACTTCCAATGGCATAAGTTTCTGTTCATTTATGGCTGTAGGAACACAAGAAAAAAAGGGGGACTAATTAAACCACTTATCCTGATCAAGAAAAAAAAGGAAACTAGCGTGTAGGAATATACAATAATACAACTATGTCATTGACTTCCGTTAGTATAAGTTTCTGTTTATTTATGGTTTTATAAATCAACCAATTCCTTCATCATAGCAACCCATCACTTCATCTTCAACCTATCTTTCTATTTCAGTTTTTTTATTCCAAACTTTAAACCACGTTACAGTTGATAATGGGTAATCCAACGGGTTTGGGGCTCCACCTCATTTTGTTATGTGCTTTTTTTGTTGCAACCATTGACACCTGTTCGGGTTTTGGAAATACAAGTGTGGTTTGCTCTGAGAAAGAGCGAGTTGCTCTTCTCAAGTTCAAACACAGTGTTGAAGATCCTTCTGGAATGTTGTCCACATGGGTTGGTGATGACTGTTGCATGTGGGGAGGAATTCACTGTGATACAACCATTGAGAGCCTTCATCTTAGAGGATGTTGGGGATCTCAAGACATGGATGATGGCTGCTACTTAAGTGGTAATGAGGTGAACTCTTCTTTGGAAGAGTTGAGACATCTAAAATACTTGGATTTAAGTGGGAATGATTTTAGATGGAGCCCTATTCCTAAGTTCATTGGATCCATGAAACAACTGACCTACCTCAATCTATCTAATGCTGTTTTTCAAGGTAATATTCCTCATCACGCTGGAAATCTTTCTAATTTAAAGGTTCTTGATCTTAGTTTAAACCGAGGGCTGATGGCAGATGATATGGCATGGACTTCAGGCCTTTCTTCACTTGAGCATCTTGACTTGAGTTTAGTAGATCTTGGTGGAGCACAAAACATGGACATGGTGTTTTACATGGTTCCCTCTTTAAAAGAGTTGAGTTTGTCAGATTGTGGACTTTCCAATGCTGATATTGGTCATTTTCTAAATTCGAGTAGAATACTTCCCAACATCAGACACTTAGATCTTAGTTTAAATTCTTTCCAAGGTCCACTCCCTGGCTTTCTTCAAAACATGTCATCATCCCTAACATTCCTCAATCTTTCATACTTTAATCTTAGTTTGTCATGGAACCTAGCAAACTTTCTAGGCATGATGCCTTCTTTATCACAGCTGCATTTGTCATATTGTGGGCTCGATAAGACACATTTGTCTTCCTCTCGTCTTAATTTCACCACACTTTCTACCATCGAACACTTAGTTCTTAGAGGAAACTCAATTGAAGGCCCATTTCCATCTTTTTTCACAAACATGACTTCCTTAAGAGTCCTTGACCTCTCAGAAAACATGTTGAATTCTTCGGTTCCTATTATGCCTAACCTTCTAGAGCTTTATCTTTCCTCAAACCAGTTCAAGCAGATTGGTGATGTTGGAATCTGGAGACAGTGTCACCTGAGACAATTGCATGCATCAAACAATCATTTTGAAATAGAAACGATCAACTCACCAAAAAACTTATCAGGGTGCTCCCAATATGCTTTGGAATGGTTGGATTTAAGTAGGTGTTCAATTGGTATAATTCCAGAATCATTTGGACGACTGGCGAATTTAAGAGGGATAGATATATCAAGCAGCAAATTGACAGGCCTAATCCCCAAATCTCTAGGAAGATTAAGATTTTTAGAAGTATTAGATCTATCTAATAACCAGTTAAGTGGTCCTATTCCTACATTCCTTGGCAATCTTTCCAAACTTGACCTTTCTAATAATCAATTGAATGGTTCAATTCCAGAATCCTTTGGAAATCTAGCAGCTTTAACATATTTGGATCTACGTTCCAATCAGTTAACGGGCCCTATCCCAACATCAATCGGGCAACTTTCCAAACTCCATTATCTAGATTCGTCTAACAATTTTTTAGGAGGAGTAGTTTCTGAAGCCCATTTTGCTAATCTTTCAATGTTAAAGTACTTGGATGCTTCTTCAAACACCATGTTGACATTCAATGTTTCACGTGAATGGGCACCTCCATTCCAATTAATAACCCTCCGACTCAGTTCTTGCAATATTGTAACTGAATTTCCAAAATGGCTTCGAAATCAAAGGAAACTTGGGTCATTAGAGTTGTCCAATTCTACAATCTCAGGGCCTCTTCCCACATGGTTGCGAAAGATTCCCATCATTCCTTTCTTAGATCTCTCTCACAACAAACTCACCGGACCTTTGGCAAACCTTCCTAATGGGGAAACTTATAGTCCATATGGATTTGTTCCAGTATTATTTCTAAAAAATAACCTGTTCAATGAGTCGATTCCAAGTTCATTGTGCAGAAGGACAGATCTGGAATATCTTGATCTTTCTAGAAATAGGTTGACCGGGGAAATTCCCAAGTGTCTTGAGAATTTGCAAGGATTGTATGCCATGATACTTAGCTCAAATCGGTTGTCTGGTGGCATTCCAAGTTCTGTAGGTCTCAATTCATTGATTCGGTTAAAATTGAATGACAACAACTTTGTTGGTGAACTTCCTAGAGAATTGGGGAACTTACCAGATTTAAATATCTTAGATGTGGGGGATAATAAATTATGTGGAAATGTACCTGAGTGGGTGGGAGAAAAGCTTACAGATTTGATTGTTTTAAGGTTACATAAAAATAACTTCACCGGAAGAATTCCTGAGACTTTGTGCAAAGCTTCAAATCTTCAAATTTTGGATGTTGCACACAACAACTTAGAGGGACATATCCCTCGTTGTCTAGGAGAGTTGAATGCCATGGTTAATAGTAGCGGGTATGGGGCTGGTGACTCTTATGAGCATGATGAGAATGTTGATCAGGTCATGAAAGGTATTGATCTTGAATATTCAAAAACTTGGGATTTGGTTTATAACATGGACCTTTCAAGCAATCAACTTGTTGGAGAAATACCAGTTGAGCTAACTGCCCTTTCCATGTTGGGAGGTCTGAACTTGTCCAATAATCATCTCAATGGGCATATTCCAAACAACATTGGAAACATGATGAAGTTAGAATCTCTTGATTTATCTGGAAACGAATTGGTTGGGGTAATCCCTCAAAGCATGGCAGATTTGACCTTTTTGAGTCATTTGAATTTGTCACACAACAACCTGTCGGGACGAATTCCAACAGGAAGGCAACTGCAGACCCTGATTGATCCATCGATATATGAAGGGAACAAATATTTATGTGGGCCTCCATCGCCTAGGAATTGCTCAAATCCCGGAGAAGACCCAACAACAAAAAGCAAGAAGAAACAAGGAACAACTGATGAGAAGACTGAGTTATCGCTGTTTTACTTGGATATAATTTGTGGTTTTGCAACTGGGTTTTGGGGTGTTATTGGAGTTTTGTTGTTCAAGAAGCAGTGGAGACAAAAGATTTACATGTTTGCTGAGGAAGCCATGGATAAGATATATGTTGCAGTTGCAGTCATGGTCAGAGTTACCAAGATCAAGGGAGGAAGAGAAGCCACATAGAACCTATGGAATGCAAGTAATTTTAAATGATTGTTTTGATTTCTATTATCAGTATTGTGTTTTTTGTACTGCTATTTGTATTTTATTTTTGTAATATGGATGTTGTTTAACAGTGTCAATTTTGAAAATTTTGTTGGATTTTGGAATTTATACAAGGTTAGGTAATTAGATTAGATTGTTTAAAGGAACTGAAATAAAGTTTCTGTATGGTAATATTTTAGGCTTAATGACCTAGAAAGGTAACGAACTTTTGTCTTTGTCCACATTTAGGTAACCATGTTTTTTTCGTTCACATTTGACCATTGAACTTGTTTGACCTGTTCAAAATAGGTAATATGAACAATAATATTTTCCTATTATGAACAGATCAAACAAGTTTATTGGTCAAATGTGTACGAAAAAAACATGGTTACCTAAATACGGACAAAAACCAAAGTTTCTTACCCGTTTTGGTAATACCGGACAAGAACCGTCTTATGGACTGTATGCCTTAGGATCAAGCTCCGACAGCCACTGAACAATTAGGTTAGGCTTGGTCTAACCCAATTTAGTCCCAACTAGTCATGGACTAAGCTGTGTTGCTTGGTCTTTAAAACACATACAACCTATCCCCTTAAGCGTATACAAGCTATCCCCTAATTAGCTGGGCCTAAACTGGGTTAGCCCAAGACTTGACCTTCTTCTCATACATAAGACCGGACAACCCAATTTTATTTCACATCAATGGATCTTATAACTACTTGCACTTAACATAAAAAACTCAATATTAACAAAATAGGTAAGTAACTTTGGTTTTTGTCCATGTTTAGGTAACCATGTTTTTTTCGTACACATTTGACCGTTAACTTATTTGACCTGTTCATAATAGGGTAATATTACCGCTAATTACCGATCATATTACCCTATTTTGAGCAGGTCAAACAAGTTCAATAGTCAAATGTGAACGAAAAAAACATGGTTACCTAAATGTGGACAAAGACCAAAGTTCGTTACCTTTCTAGGTCATTAACCCAACATTTTAACTTGAAATACCTTGATGTTTCATTTTTCGCTTATTTCTACTCTCAAAACAACTAGATGCTGATTTTTGTCGCTTTTCATCTAAATGGCTCCAAGTAAGGATCATACTCATTATCTATTTTTTGGTTGATTTTTTTTGGGGAGGGGGGGGGGGTCCATCTTAATCTAATTTTCAATCTCTAAAATGAAAAATATGGGTTAATCTTCATAATAGGTCAACAAAATTTCAGCCATCAGATACAAGTGAGACAACATGGAAGGTTGAGAGATTGAAACCCTAGGGTAGAACTGGAAAATTATCATTAATTAAAGAATAAAAACCTAGTGAGAATATGTCGATCTTTTTTGAAGTCATTTACAATTATTTTCTTAAAAAGAATCGTGTTTTAAATTGAAGGGAGTGGTAGCATTTGCTAAAACATTGTCATGTTATATTTTTTTGGACTGGCCATAATATGATGATATGGAGTGGTGATCTATTTAGAAGGTAAGCATTTTTTTCTTAAATTAAATAATTTTTTATTTAACTATTTAAATAAAATAAATTATAAAAAGATACAAGTTGCTAAAACTAGAGTTATAAGAATTTGAAGTTGAAATATTCAAATGATTAAATGGGGACCACCTGTGTTACTCTCCTTCTCTTTCATCTCGCCAAGAGACTAGTGAGTCAATCTTAAAGCAACGGATGTGCTTAGTGCATGGTTAGGGAGCGGTAGAAATGGCGAGCAACTCCCTTAGCCTTAATATCAATTTGTTTGATATGGAAACCAACTTCATGAAGAATGTTAAAGACCTTTAAGGAGAGGCATGATTCACTTACTTCCTACTTTTGTGAAATCTGCATAAGTAATTTATAAGGTAAAATTACTTATGACAAAACAATTTTAAATAGTACGAAACTAACTTTAATATTATCACTACACTTACATCATACCATTATAAAATAATCACCACTCCACATCATTATGACCTTCTTATTTTTTAATTATTTATTCAAAAAATATTTTTTTAATTAATTAAGCGTTTATAGAGAGATAAAAAGAGAAAAAAAACATGATTAGACAAAAAAGGGGTGGCGTATAGACCACATTTCACAATGGATGGTATCATATGAGGATGGTGTGCACACCACCACACACCATCACTTTGCCACTTCATCACCATGCCAAGGGCATGAGAAGTATACCAAGAGGCCTCATAGAGAATAGACCTCCATGTGAACATCATCATGTAACCAATTTTGTTGATTTGTACTTGTCTTTGTGAGTTGCCGCATCATCTTTTTACCAATATATTTGCTTGGGAGATGGTAACCCAAAAATTCGCCAGTTGACTTGAAGCCATTTTTCCTAAATTGTCCAATGGATCGTAATTTCTCCTCTTATAATACTTTTTAAAAGCCAAAAAATGGTTGGTTGACCGTTGACCCTTGAATTTCACTTGTGTAAGTTGAGTGTGAATTTAAGGCTCCCCTTTATTTTGAGTGTGCATTTATGATCGGATTCAAAAGAAACACACACGTTCTTGTTCTAAACTTTCTTACCAGAATTCCAGAATGATGAAAGAGTAGTTATGGTCGCAGTGAGGAAAGGGCAGAATGATAATAACCCTAAGGATAAAAAAAATCTATTTTTGTTCTCATATTGGGTCTCTATCAATAGTTCAAATTTAATTTAATTCATATGTATTTATTAATTTAATTTTGGATTAAAGTTGGTTACAATCTTAAATTTCGATTTATAAAAATAAAACTGAATAAACTTTTGAAGATCAAAGATGAACGAAACATATGGCTTCAAATATACCTCATACGAATATACTTCCATTCAGTACAGAATAAATCTCAAGGGAATGCAGTGCGATCAAGTCTAACCCTTCCTTTTGAAACTAGAGGTACCTGAAAATATTTTAAACATAAACCGTAAGCACATAGTTTAGTGAATTCCCTAAAATACCACATATCATACATACATCGGGCCCCGTCTGGTATAAATTTGTCAGTAACATGTGGTGGGCCCCGCACAACACGTTGATCAGGCCCTACCCAACATCAGACCCCACCCGGTATACATACGAATACATGAAAGAGTCACAAAGACACCTAGCATCCTACATACATATTCTACTAGGCCGACATTGGTGTCTTCGACCCACAAGTACAGTGAGGACACTCACCTCGATCGGTAGCCGGATAATACTCATACCAGAGCTGCTGCTACCAAAAGCTCTTCACACTAAACATATCCAAAACAACTCCAATTAGCAATTAAGGTATTTTGTCCAAAATATCAAGGCTAACCCTTATTTAGGCAAAATAGCATTTTTCCCTTCCAAACCCTTCATAGTTGGTCAAAAGTCAAACTGGTCAAAAAGCCAACGATCAACCACTTGTTGACCTACGTGCTGCGTACTCTAACTCTTCACTGGGCGTAGAGCCTTAATCCAGAAAATTGGGCCTCCAATAGGGGCGTAGCCTGGATTACACACGACATACTGCCTTAGGCTCTAATACTCACATTAAGCACTTATTTCATTAAGACCTTTCACTCAAAGCTCATATTTGGTTCTTAATAGCTCCACAATGGATAAAGCTCAAACTTTATCCATTAGGATGGTCCAAACAACCAAGATCTAGTCTTTAATTCTCAAAGGGACCAAAAATGTATCTTTCTCATCTTAATCCATTAAGTCCACGTATCCAACCTTTAGATCTTAATCATTATGATGTTTAGATGGATACAGTTTCCAACTTTATCCATAACAAGGTCACAAACTTTTTAGATCTAAACTTTACGCACTAAAATGACCAAAAAGTGGCAAATATGACAAATAGCTAGATTTATGAAACCAATGAGCAAGTTAGAAGCTTTTTACTCACAATGTCCCATGAATGATGTAATCTTTCTAGATTTATAATTGAAGTCTTCTTCTATACACTTTGCCACCACCTTGATCTTCAAGATTCACCTTTCCAGTGGAGAAATAAGCTCATAAATGATGCCAAGGCTTAAAAACAAGAGATATGAGGCTAGGGTTTCTCAAGGAATGATATTAGGTAATGGAGGCTGGTAATGAGAGGGTTTACCATAGGTTAGAGCCCTTAAATAGGGATCAAAACCGAAGATTTAGTGTTTTGATCTGCCCAAATTACGCCATGCGTATTTCATTAAACCCCGTTACGTCTTACGTAATCCAAAAATCCCTAATTTTCACTTCAACTTCAAACAACCATAACTTCTTCATTTTAACTCCGTTTTTGGCGTTCATTATATGCACAGAAAGGTATTGAAGAGCCCCACAATCATATCTAATTACCTTTGACTTAAAACATACCGAACTAAAATCCTTAATTCATGAAATATGTCTGAAACATCACTTTTCCATTTTACCCTTTGACTCCAAAATAGAAACCAAGAGCTTGGATCACATAACCAATATTATATACATCCAATAGGGTCTAAAACCTATTAAGTTGAAGCCCAAGACCTTTACTTGATCCATTTTTGTCCATAATCCCGAAATAATAAACTTCTCGAAACAGGATGTTACAACTCTCCCCCACCTAAACTGGATTTTGTCCTCGAAATCTGTCTTGGTTAGGATCTATGAAACAATGCCAACATATTCCATAAGATCCCCCTAACTATTTCGAAATCAATGCCTCTTATAAGAAAACTTTAGAGACCACTCGAAAACCCACAATTGCAAACAAACAACCAATAACTGGATTTTTTTCTCTTCCTAACTGTGTGACCCAACTACCAGAGAAAACTAATCAAACTGGGAACTCTCAAAACTAAAACCACAAACCAACTATGAAAATATACTCCTCGAAACTGGGAGCCCATTAGTCTAAACTTCAGAAACCATACCTTATGACTGATGATCATCCAATCATCGTACCTACCAATAGTTCCCTGACTAGGAACACCACCAAACCATGCATAAAGAATGATCAAAACATCCTAATTGTGACT